AGTCTCGGATGAATTGACAGTTAAGTTGAATTGTTATAAATTGTAGATTATGCGCTTGAGTATCTGAAAAGCGTTGCATTACAGCTTCTAACAATTGTGGTGTCACGGGACCGCTTATGAAGTCGGTTTCTTGACATGGGATTTTTAACTCGCTGATGTATTTACTGTAATGAGAATATTGGCCCCTGTAGTCGGGTGATATATGACATATGACATATGATATATGACAAAGAAACTACTCGGTAAACGATGCTTTAAGAATTCTGACAGATAATAGCTTAAATGCTTAATTTAGGGGCTGTACCCTCATAACTTTCCATATTTCGGAGGTATGTCAAAGTAATGTGAGAACCTGTCATAGAGTGACAAGGTGTCAAGTAATTACTGAAGCATCAGGATGGCTTTATGGTGCTCTAACAATGTCAAGTAAACTTTTAACTGCTTATATTCTCAACAGATTTCCCTCAGGACTACCATTTTGGTACATTTCAGCCCCTGTAGATGAACATGTATAGACCCATTTGCATTATCATGTATTCTTAAAAAATCATGTCAGTTTGGCTGAAATTAGTATAAAATAATGCAGGATTATTAAGACCCATCAACAGAAATCCATTAGTGACTGAATGAATGAATGTGTAAATGAGTGGGTGAATGAGTGAGTAAATGAATGAATATATGAGTGAATGAATAAGTTAAGGACTGAAAGAGAGAGTGAGTGAGTGAGTGAGTGGGTGGGTGGGTGAGTGAGTGAGTGAGTGAGTGAGTGAGTGAGTGAGTGAGTGAGTGAGTGAGTGAGTGGGTGAGTGGGTGAGTGGGTGAGTGGGTGAGTGGGTGAGTGGGTGAGTGGGTGAGTGGGTGAGTGGGTGTGGGTGCGGGTGCGGGTGCGAGTGCGAGTGCGAGTGTGTGTGTGTGTGTGTGTGTGTGTGTGTGTGTGAGTGAGTGAGTGAGTGAGTGAGTGAGTGAGTGAGTGCATAAATGAGTGGATGAGTGGATGGGTGGGTGAGTGAGTAAGTGAGTGAGTGAGTAAGTGAGTAAGTGAGTAAGTGAGTAAGTGAGTTAGTGAGTGAGTGAGTGAGTGAGTGAGTGAGTAAGTAAGTAAGTAAGTAAGTAAGTAAGTAAGTAAGTAAGTAAGTAAGTAAGTAAGTAAGTAAGTAAGTAAGTAAGTAAGTAAGTAAGTGAGTGAGTGAGCAAATGAGTGAGTGAGTGAGTGAGTTAGCGAGCGAGTTAGCGAGCAAGTGAGTGAGTGAGTGAGTGAGTGAGTGAGTGAGTGAGTGAGTGAGTTTGATGAATGAGTGAGGGTGTGAGTTTGTAGAAGGAGTGAGTGAGTGAGTTTGGGTGACTGAGTGACTTTGAGTTTACGAGTAAGTTTGAATTAATTATTGAAGTTGTATGGTGTTTTTTTCTTCTCTTTTCCTTTTCCTTCTCCTCTTCATCCCCCTTCTTCTGTCCACTTATCCTCACTTTTACCCTTTATGCCACAGTACTTTATCATAAAACTGTCACATTTATTTACTTTGACCATTAACCATTCTGGAATCCACAAACATTGCCTTATGAATGGAGCCCCACCCTATCTCTATATTTTAAATACACCCTAAATGATCTCAAATGTTGATGCAGCAGAAAATTTTCAGTGAATGAATGAATGTCTTGTAATGTTTGATTTTTGTGTGTGTAAATAGTCTATTGGCATGATTAATTTTGTTAAATAGAATGCAAAATGAAATTAGATCTATGGGAAATCATTATGTTAGTCTTCAAAAAGTCAAAGTTTTCAAGGGTATTATTTTTCATTTTGAGTGTAGTAGATACTAATTCAAGATTAGGTTTGTTTTTCAAATTTAAAAAGGAAAAGTAGGGATTAATGTAGAGGATGAAGTAGTAGACTTGCCATTTCCAATTGGTCTTCCCTATTTGACAATTTAAAATATTTGTGGATTTTTAGCAAGAACCTGTTTGAGCCATTACAGTTATATTTCTTTCTGTTCTGTAATATAATTGTTATCTGTATTTTTTTTTCTCATACAGGAATGCAGTAAACCACAAACTGAGTTCATCTGACAAAAAAATATCAGAAGAGGATGAAGAAAGTCAATGAAGTTCAACAGGAAACTTCAGGAAATGCAGCAGGTACTGATGCACAGGCTGTAAAGAAGAAAAAGAAGAGAGGAAAGAGGAAGAAGAAGGTAGTTGCAGCTGTTGCAGCTGTTGCAGCTGTTACAAATGGGGCAGCCCAGGAGCAAACGAAGAAGAAGAAGAAGAGGAAGAGGGGCAAGAAAAGAGCAAGAACCAATAGCGTTGGGGAATCAGTGGACGGGACGCAGACAGCTGGAGGACAGGCAGGAACAGATACACAGGTAAACTCCCCAGAAGCCAAGGGAAAGAAATTGAAGAAATCAAATGATAATGACAATACCAGTGAACCAATAGAAACTGTGGGAAAAGAGAAATTGAAGGTAAATGATCAAGATACACCCGTGGAAAGTAAGGGAAAGAAGAAGTTAAAGGTAAATGATGAAGGTGTTCCAGTGGAAGGCAAAGGGAAAAAGAAAGGGAAGAAGAGAAATAATGAAGCTATACCAGTGGAAGCCAAAGGGAAAAAGAGGGAGTTGGAGGAGGTAAATGATGAAGGAGAATTAGTGGATGTGAAAAAGACAGAAAAGGTCAAAGACGGCAAATCAGCTGTCAAAAAGAAGAAAATGAATGCCGACAAAGAAGTTGATGTGTCCACAGCAGGCAGTGAGACCAAGGAAGTGGAAAACAAGAGTAATGAGAAAGTGGTGTTTGAGAAAAAACTCAAGAAAAAGAAGAAGATGAAAAAGATGAATCAAATTCAAGTTGGTACAAACAGTACAGCAGAAGATGGGGCACAGGATCCTAAGGAGGCAGAGGAAGATAAAACTCCAGTAAAGAAAGCAGAGGATTTATCAGCAGAACCTGAGAACTCTGAACCACAAAGACCAGAAGAGGATGTCGGAACTCCGGCTAAAAAGAAGAAAAAGAAGAAAAAGAAGTCTACATCTGGAGCAGTGAGATTAAATCCTGCATACAGCGATCCTACCAACAAAAATGAGATAAAAAAACATTGGACGGAAGATGGGGCACCACTTAAGAAAGGTGAATGATGCATTTTTATTCAGGTTTTAGTTTCTAAAATGTATAGGGTATGCCTGAAAGAGTATTTTTTTAATGCAGAAAACTTGTTCACTTATACTGACTAGTGAGAAGTTAGGAATGCAGCTAATGTTGTTAAGAACATTTGTAACAGTTCATTCAAGAATAAGGATATTGTTTGCCTTAAGACTTTTGAAATTGGAATTGAAGCAAGATATGAAATAGCCACAAGTATGGTAGTAATGCTTTAGAAATGGAAATCTTGATATAGATTATGCTTACATTTTACTTCCTATTTAACTGTATTAACATACGGGCACAAGCAAAACAAAACAGAGATCTGAGTAAGAAATGTATACATTAATTAGTAAAAACTTGTATGATTAATTTTAATGTAGACATATAGTCAATTGAGTATTTTTTAAACTTTGAATAATGATCTTTTTCTTTAGATAATGGTTTAGAAATAATTAAGAAGCCGTTCACCTGCGGTTACCTGCCTGGCTTTTTGGAGAATGCTGACATACTGAAGAGCATTGAGGAGGAACTGAAGAACATTCCCCCTATTAAGAAGAATAATGATTTGTACAAGGTGCTTAACACATACTGTATAAAGAGTATCATGTAATGTTTAGTATGATTGAAATGAGTCTTCAGTTGATGCCTGAAAGAAGTAAATGACCATTATATACTCTCTTATAAAAAAAAAAAATCAATATCTCTAATGCCTCTTGTCATCTTCCCTCTAGTTTACACAGACTCCAGATCTGAAGTCATCGGACAAACCCCACATTTTGCGCCTTCGAGATTTCTTGTATGGGGACTTCAGGAAGTGGTTGACAGAGGTGACTGGCATACCGCTGAATGAGACGGTCGACATGGGTTCCTCTACCTATGAGCATACAGGTGAACAGAAGACCTAATTTTTCCTTCTGTCTTGTAATTTTTTAATTTATGTGTTGAAGTGCAGGTGAGCAAGTGAATATAGACTATGTTTGTTTTTATATATATATATATATATATATATATATATTTTTTAAGCTATTTATTTTTGTTTTATGATTTTTTTTAAAAGTTCAATAATCTATGTAGTTTAGTATTCTGTGGTCATATGGATAATAAACTGGATGTGTAAGGTTTTTGCTCATATTTCAGACGTGTTGTTATGCCATGACGATGAACTAGAAGGCCGTCGCATAGCCTATATCCTGTACCTGGTGCCGTCATGGGAAGCAAGTGATGGTGGCACGCTTGATCTCTTTGACACTGACAGTATGTGTGAACAGGTTTTTTCAGCTGTTGCTTTTTGCTTTTTGATGTTTTTGGTCTCCGTGCTCAGTAATTCTTTTATGTCTTGCTTTCCTATTCCTCATTCTTCCTCTCCCTTTTCTTTTTCTTTCTCCTTACACTTCTTCTTCTTCTTTTTTTTCATTTTCTTTTTCTTCCTCTCTTCCTTATATCCTCTTCCCCTTCCCCTTCCCCTTCCCCTTCACCTTCACCTTCACCTTCACCTTCACCTTCACCTTCCTCTTCCTCTTCCTCTTCCTCTTGACTTCCTCCTCCTCATCCCCCCTCTCTTCTCGACCTCCCTCTTCTCCTCCTCCCCTTCTCCTCATCCTCTCCTTCTCCTCATACTCCCCCTCCCCCTCCCCTTTTCTTGTCCTCCTCTTCTTCTCCTTGTACTCTACTTCTTCTCCTCGTCCTCCCCTTCTTCTCGTCCTCCTCTTCTTCTCCTTGTACTCTACTTCTTCTCCTCGTCCTCCCCTTCTTTTCCTTCTCCGCCTCTTTTTCTTGTCTCACCCTTTTTTTCTCTTCAGGTTTTCCTCTCTTCTCCTTGTACTCTACTTCTTCTCCTCGTCCTCCCCTTCTTCTCGTCCTCCTCTTCTTCTCCTTGTACTCTACTTCTTCTCCTCGTCCTCCCCTTCTTCTCGTCCTCCTCTTCTTCTCCTTGTACTCTACTTCTTCTCCTCGTCCTCCCCTTCTTCTCGTCCTCCTCTTCTTCTCCTTGTACTCTACTTCTTCTCCTCGAGTCTCCCCTTCTTCTCGTCCTCCTCTTCTTCTCCTTGTACTCTACTTCTTCTCCTCGTCCTCCCCTTCTTTTCCTTCTCCGCCTCTTTTTCTTGTCTCACCCTTTTTTTCTCTTCAGGTTTTCCTCTCTTCTCCTTGCCCTCTTCTCCCCTGCTCCTCCTCTTTATCCTTTTGTGTTTTCCTTACCATCCTCATCTGCTTTCTCCTTTTTTTTTTCTTCCTCTTCCCTTGCCCTCTCTATTCTTCTCCTTCTCCTGCACCTTCCCTTTCACCCCCTTCCTCTTCCATGTTTCTGTCGTATGTCTGTTCTTTGATTTACTTTTTTTGTGCATTTATTTTATATATATCTTCTGTCAAAGTTTTGTTTAAGCAGCAGCAATTTTTTTCTTCTCTTTCCTTCAGAAAATGGCCAGCCCAAGAACATTGTGAGATCGTTAGTCCCGCAGTGGAACACGTTTGCCTTCTTCGAGGTCTCTCCCATTTCATTCCATCAGGTATGAGTATGGTGCTGTATAAATACCTGTACTCCCTTAGATTTAGGTGGTAAATTTGGTATAGATGAGTTCTTTCATTTTTGTGTTAATCCATAAAAAGTTTTTTTTTTTGTAAGTTTAAGGTTAGTGTGGGGCAGGCATATTTTGTAGAAAGAGAAATTATCAGTGCTGTTGATATCACTATTATTATTATTTTTGTTATCGTTACCATTATCTTATCACTATTATGTTCTTCATCATTGTCAGCACTCATCATCATTATAGGGGGACATGAGTACATGAGGGGATGTCATGGTTATATATATATATCTAATTGCAGGTAGCAGAGGTTTTATCCAAGGATAAGACTCGCCTCTCCATCAACGGCTGGTTCCACGGTCCTCCCATCGATAGACCTCCTAAGTACGAGGAGCCACCAAGACCATTCTTGTATCCCAAGCATGTAGAGGTGTGTGCTGGAATTCTATAATGACTAGTTTTTGAAGGAGCAGTTGATTTGAAAATTTGCTGTTTCCTCCTACAAATTAAAATAATGGTTTATGCAATAACAGCATACTTTTTCTTATTATATATGTATAGATATATTTTTTTCCATTATAATAAAAGGAAATTTCTTAATTGGGTTTAGGAATATTTTATGAATAAATAAAGAGAGGATATATGTCAGAAATTATTGAAATCCAGAGGAGAATTTGATGAGAGATGATGACAGATGAGAGACTAAACACATCTCTAACATATACAGGAAGATGTACTGTACAGCTGGATCAACCCAGCCTACCTGGAGGAAAGCACACAGAAGACAATCCGAAAAAAGTTTGGCACAGACTCGGAAATAGAACTAGAAAGTTTTTTGACAGAGGAGAAGTATGAGGCACTCAGCACAGCTCTCAAAAACCAAGGATTAAAGTGGAAGAGAACAGGACCTGCTAATAAGAACTCCTATCAGGTGTCTGACTTCAACCGTTTTGAAGAAAGAGTTTTCTTTGGGTTTATATTTAGCAAAATCAATGTTTCTAGATGTTTCTGTTGATTTACCAGTAACTATTTCTTTTTCTGTAAGAGCAAATCCAGAGACTTATAAAGGGGTTTGTGCATATAATTAGGCATATATATGGAATATCCACTCACTAATACCCACAAAGGAAACATTTAACAATGTCCCATATACTCACAGGTGTTGACCAACAAGCAACCAGAAGTGCTGAAGGAGTGCTTGTCTGTCCTACAGTCTGAGGCCATGTTCCTTATCCTGTCTCAGCTGACAGGTCTTTCTCTACACAAGCTTGCTCCACCTGACTCTGATCCAGACAGTGATGAGGAAGATGAAGAGAAAGGTTGGCATGTGTTTTATTTGGCACTGTGATGTATTACTGGTGTTATAATTATGTTCTTGGTATTTTTGTTGGATAGTTGTCATTTCTTTCTTTTTTTCAGTTATTTTAGTAGTATTTTTGAAATTACTTTTGTTGTTTTACTGTTATTAACATTATTTTGTTCCTTTTGCTTGTTGTTGATATTCAAACACATTTTTTTTATCCTTTTTCAGAGCCAAACCCACGGCTAAGAGTTCGTGTGGGGCGGTGGAGTCATGGCTCCTACACCCTCATCCGAGACAGCGATGCGGAGGAGCAGGAGAGTGCCCTGGATGCTACTCTCTTTGTGTCTGTGTCTGACAAGTGGAGGGAAGACCTGGGAGGGTACAACAGCTATATCAGCAAGGATGAAGATGCGGAGGTAATTAGGGTGCATGGCATGTTAGGAGTGACATGAGGTACGAAGATCTGGCTGGCTATAACAGCTTCATCAGTTATAATGAGGGTGAGGGTGTGGGGAAATCAGGTTGTATGAGGAATGACTGGCATTTGTGCAGTTTCATGAGGTGTGAGATTGAAGTGTGTGATTGCTATACATGAAATGAAATTGTGTGATAGTGTGCACTGTTGCTCTGAGGTACTATGCAAGAAAAAAATTGTGTTTTAGATAAAACTTGTAAATAAGTACTATTACAAATTTAGGACAGATTCCTTTACAAGAATGTATTTTGTGGCATAAGTCATAAAATGTGTAAGTACTGTTTTAATTTAAGTTCTGTAATAATAAGATCAAATTTACTGCCTGCCAAAATTCCATAAATCAAAAATTGTGAAGCCTTATGCTGCTGAGGATGGCTGAAATATAGTAAAATAGTTGCACAATACCATAAAGTGTTAGAATAATTTTTGTCCATTTGTTTATACTTGACAGTTCTTCCTTGTTTTCCCTTCAGTTGCTGAGTGTGCTGCCTCGTTCCAACTGCTTTGCCCTAGTCTACCGTGATGCTGAGACTCTCAAGTTCACGAAGCACATCAATGCAGGTGTCTTGGATCTTGAAGAGGAAGACAGACACTACTTTGATATAAACTGCAAATACTATGAGTGATACAGTTAACAAGGTTGTTATTTATGTTATTGTTATTTCTTTACTCCTGTTTCCCTTATTTGAAATTCTGTTATGACTGACTGTAACAGAGCAAGAATTCTACATTATTAGTAATGTAGAGAAAAATAGCTGTGATTTTTCGTATTAATTTTTTGTCTAAGTAAATGTTAGACTGTATGTAATGTATGTTGTCAAGTGATATATTACCTACCAGGGTTTGGTATTAAAACATCATTTAGTATCAAATTTTGTCAAAATTTAGTATCAAATTTTGTCAAAATTACACTATGTTAAAATCTATCTGGCTGTGCTATATAATAGTGTTTTGATGATTGCCTCACAAAATTGGAAAAATATCATTTTTTTTTCTAAATCTTCTAAGAAGCAGCAGCTAGATCTAATAAATATTGATAGACATTCAGTTCTTCCAGTCAGATTGTGAGTGAATTCTTGATTGTATAAAAGAAAACAACACATTTTAGTTTTACTTCTCCTTCACATGTTATTCACATGTTCTTTCAAATGTACATCACTAGATTAATAATTTTTATGGTTATGGCAAATTATTGATGAATGTTGATTAGGCTGGAGTATGAATATGTGAAGTACTTTTTAGCTTACCCAAACTAGATGATGATGTGAACAGGGCATCTGTCAAAATGGGTATGTGGGTATATTAATCCAAAAGACCCATACACTGTAAGGGTTTTAGACAAGTATGTAGTGCTCTGTGTTTTGAGTCTGATAGTTTTCAAATTTTAGACTTCCTTAATTGACAATGTGTGTGACAGAGATATTGAAGAAGGAAATAGGGAGAAACAGATAGATATAAACACAAATAATGACATGGACCCAGAAGACAAAGCTTATAAATGTCTGAAAGTATTGGTGTTTTATGATATTTTGGTACAGTTTGATGAAGTTCAAAATTTAAACAGCCTCACAAGGACAAATGATTTTGGTATTAAGAAAAACAGTTGCTAGCTGTCAAGATGAAGGCCAGCAGCAGCAAAATATTCCATGTCTGAATAATGATAGACGATTTTGATGTGATGTTATGAGTCCAAATGCTACAAATGCCTCTGATGGCACAGAAAAGAATTTAAATAATCAATCATCAATTTAAGGGTGGCCATGTTGGAGACATTAAAAAAAAGTAGACATTTGATTGGTATTGTAAGTGGAGGTGTGAAGGTATTGTAGATAATTCATGTGTCATACACTACAGGCTGCTTTAGATTATTGAAATATCAGAGTTTGCTGGTCTTGACCAATATTTGGCTAGAAAAAAACATTATATTGCATCCAATCCTGCTGATTTCATACCATTGTATTATATAAGTTTGTTAGTCATGTACATAAAATGTTTTTGGTTTTCATTTTCTGATCACCTTATTGTAGACAATTTTTTTTTTTGTAAGAAGACTAATGAACCAACCTGCCCATGGATCAATAAAGCAGGCAACAAAAGGAGGTAAGAATCAACATTTCATTAATTGAATTAACCAGTTTGGAATATCGTCTCCACATCTGGATTTACCCTGGCCAGATATGCTTACATTTGAGTCTGGAAATAGGATAGAAGTCCTATCCACCTTGGTCAGAACTACCTACTTACTGGAGTCCTATTTTAACATAGAAACCCCTACTATCCTTTAGAAATTGCATCCTTTAATTTCACAGCAGTAAAAGTAACCATCTAGTGGGCAAAGGCAGATGTTTTCTGAATTTTTTAACATTGTAAGATCACCTCCCCACCTGATGTCTATCAGAAGTCTTCAATAATAACCAAAAGCTACTACCAAGATCCAATATAACATTGTTATGTAGACCTTGGCCACTACTTTCAGCTTCTGATAGTACATCATGTAGATTCCAGTAACTGTATGATCCACACACAGATGAATACATATACTTTGCTGCTTTGGTTACAAACAAATGTGATGATACATAGCAGGATAGGAAATTTTTATCACAAACTATTGAAAAAGTAATGAGGGTAAAGAAAGCACATAAGGTCTGGATTTACAAACTATTTTGACTGCAAAAATACAATTGGATTCTTGGCAAGATTAAATACCAAAAGATTATCAGTAACAGAAAATTATCCTCTCTTGGAGCACGAACTCTGAAACTATATCCTCAAAAAAATCAGATTAATTAAGGTCTAAAACTAGAAAATGCCAAGGTAATAAGTGGTAATATTGGGAACTGATAAGGTGTACAGGATGACAAGATATGGAACCATTGATGCAAGCTTGCTAGAAAGTACATAATATGTGTTAGAAAGACAGGTTTTAAGTATTGATGTGTTTTAATGTATGTGGAAGATTACAAGTAACTAAGTGAGATATAAGGAAGGTCATAAGATATAAAGTTGACATACATCAAGGATACCAACAGAATTTCAAAGATGGAAAGAGAGAGATAGAGAGAGAGATAGGTAAAGATAAATAGAGATAGGCAAAGATAGACAGACAGAAATAGAGACAAAGATAGGGATAAAGATAGAAATATAGATGGAGATAAGAGATAGATATAGATAAGGATAGAATGGAATAGATAAGTAGAGTTAGATAGGGAGAGAGAGAGAGAGAGAGTTAATAATTTTAAGCTATTGAAAAGTTTTGAGACATTCCATTCTGTTTATTTGTGTTCTTAATGATGATGATAATAATATAATCATAATATTGACAATAATGATGATAATGACTAATAATAATAATAATAATAATAATAATAATAATAATAATAATAATAATAATAATAATAATAATAATTATAGTGATAATGATAATGATAATGATAATAATAATGATAATACAGAAATAATAATAACGACAATATTAATAATAATGATACTGATAATAATAAAAACATTCCCACCATGATAATGATCATGATAATAATAATGATAATGATAATGGTAATAATAATAATAATAATAATAATAATAATAATAATAATAATAATAATAATAATGATAATGCAGAAATAATAAGAACAACAATAATAATACAGTAATAATAATAACGACAATATTAATAATAATGATACTGATGATAATAAAAACATTCCCACCAAACACTTGCTCGTTGGCGTGGGAGGGCCTAGGAGACGGGACAGAGGCCCAATGTAGGTGATCAACCCTACCTTGGAAATCAGCCCTCGCCTCAACTAAGTTTGCCAGATGTTTTCTTCTCCCTCTTTCCTTTTCCTTCTCTTCTTCGTCCCCTTCTTCCGTCTACTTATCCTGATCGTGAATTCATTTTTACCCTTTTAGCCACAATATTTGACCATAGTGCTGTATGACCTTTGATGTCTAGTACAATCGTTTTTGGAATCATTAACCATTAATAATAACAACAATAATGATAATGATGATATGATAATAATAGATATAATGATGATATGATAATAATAGATATAATGATGATAATGATAGTAATAATACTACTAATGATATCAGTAATTACAATATTAATAATAATACCACTAATACAAATTATTTGTTAAACAACGACAAAAACAACATTAAGAACATAAACACTAAAAAGGTTAGCAAAAGAAAGTGTGATACAGAACAAAAAATTTCCTATATTCTTCCTGCATCCGGCCCACGCAAGGCAACCATATGAATTCCTGCGTCCTTAGGATTCGAGAGTGCAATGACACAGCAGTTTCTCTCGTTCTAGGGCACGGTCCACTATAGGAGACTGCCTGTTGTAAAGGTACATACTGTACTAGTCTCCCAGTTGAGAATTAAGATTTTTATTTTAATGTATCTGAGATTATGATGATGACGATAGAATTATTAATGATACTGGTATAGATGTTTACGATGTCGATAGTGTTATTAATGATAACGATATTAAAGTTTATGATGATATTATTATCAATGATAATGATGTTAATGTTTATGATTTAACAATATTTTTTCTGGTTATAAGAGTAATCAGTAATCATATAATCAGCGCTTCGTGAAAAGGAAGCTGTAAAAATGAATATAGTGAAAATATCTCGTAGAAGCTATGACAAGCGTTAATAGATAGATAGACAGACAAAGAGACAAGGAGACAGATAGACAGTTAAATAGGTTGTTAGAGGTAGGTAGCAAGGTAGAGAGTGGGAAGGGAACGAGAGAAAACTATAGGAAAGTTTTGGTATGAAACACACATTACTGCTGGTATGTGTGTTTCGGTGTTAGAGAGGGACTGATAGATAGACAGATAGACAGATACACGCAGATTGGTAGATAGATAGAGAGAGAGATATATATAATGATGAGATAATAAAGATAGTGAATATAAAGTAGAAAGAGAGCGAAAGACATAGAGATGCATAACAGATAAATGGATACTCAGAATAGTATACTGATCAGACAGATACTTAAGACAGACAGGTAGGCAGGCAGGCAAACAGATATACATACACACAGA